CCACTGCACTCCAGTCTGGGTGACAGAGTGAGACTCCAATTCAAAAAACAAACAAACAAACAAAAAAAGAATGCACGTGTCTAAGCCTGGCCTGTCACAACGGATACCGATGGGCACCCAAAGCACAACAGGAAGGCCTGTTCTGATTGAGGAGGCCACAGCATGCCTACAGCCTCCCAGCAGGTCAAGGCGTGACAGTCCTAGCGGGTGGGCAGGAAGTGAGCATACCCGCCTCCTGGCACCCACCCCCCAGGCCCAGCCCCAGGTCGGCCTCCCAGGGCTTCCCTCTGTCTTCTCCATGCTCTCTCTGCTCTGGGGACCAGGGACCCATGTTCAGCTCTGCTACCAATAGGCCGCGTGCACTCATGTGGTGGCTGACCCCGCAGGGTTGGCTTTCCGCCTTTTAAAGGGCGAGGTTGCACTGGGCAACCCTGGTACTTTCTGAGTCTGCCCATTGGCACGCGGCACCCTCCTGGCCTCCTGCCCATGCCCCACGGCCCCGTGCCACGTCATTTCCATCCGCAATGCTGCCGCCATGGCTGTCTTAAAGGGGCAACTCTCGACTGTCTAGCCCCCTTCTCTTGATGGCGGGTGTGTTGCGGGCAGGGCATTCACTTCTGATTTCTTGGATCTTTTGGTCATGGCCTCGGGCCCAGGTCTTTGTAGGCATGAGTGGATTCTTGTTATTGATCAACGGAAGGGAAGTTAGATGATAAATGGGCTTTGGAACCCCAAAGCCCGAATCATGGTCAGCCTTTCTCCATGCACAAGCACTACTTACTCCCTGCACTCGACACTCCATGGATTGGTGATCTCATTTTATCCTTGACAACCCTGGGGGGTAGGCACCATAATCTCCCCATTTCTAGATGAAGAAATGAGGGCTCAGAGATGCTGAGCACCCGGCCCGAGGTCACACAGCCGGCGAGTCTTAGAGCCAGAATGTGACTCAGACCCCCATCTGAGGGCCTCTGCGGTGCTCTCCTCTTTCTCTCTAGGAAACATGGCCTCGTCCACGCTCATGAACCACAGAAATCGCAGAGCAGTGCTCCAGCCTCTCTGGGGTGGCTGGGCGCTCGCCTCCCCCAGCCTGGATATCAGAGCTGCTCACCCAAAGACACCTGTCCCCTACTTTTCTGCTCCTCACTCGAGGCAGGAAGGTTGGTGAGGGGAGGGGGCGGGCTGGGCTGCCAGCAGGGGGAGGAGTCGCCAACCACGCTTGGGCTGTGCAGTCACAGCAGCACAACTGAAGACCACAACAGGAGTGACATTTCCAGCGGGTGGATGTTGCCACAACAACCCTATACCCTCAGGTTTTGCGGACAAGTGAGCTCTTTCTGCTCACAGTGTGAGGAGCTGATGCTGCTTCCTGTGGCTCCCAGCCCGCCTGCCGAGCCCAGGTCCTACTGCTACAGAAGCATGCCTGCCAGCCGGAGTGGGGGTGCGTCTCCCTGGAGACGGAGCACACGCCCCCACGCCCGTGCGGTCCGCCCACGGGCCGCAGGCTCCCAGCTCTGCTGATCCTGCTGTTATCAACGACACAAGCCCCGGAATGCCAACAGCCACGCCGCTTGGGGCCTGACGTTGCCCGCCTCGTGTCAGAGCATGGCTCTGTTCAAGTCAGAAACCCAGGTGCAGGGGCAGGAGCATGGGCGGTTGTCCATGGGACCACACATCGGGTCTCAGGGTGCTGGGGCCGCCTGCACGAGTGACCTGTGCACGTCTGTCTGGGGGGCAGAGCAGGGCGGCGGGGCCAGTGCCTGGGCCAGGGTGGATGCCTACGCCTGCTGCCCTGGGTGGCAGCAAAGCCACAGCTCTGGATTCAGAATTGACCTGAGCTGGGGTCCTCTGGGAATTTGCCGGGTTTCCTCGGCTTTCGGGAAAACTTACAAGGCTCAGCGTCCTCGTGTACATGCCCTGTCTGATGCTGTGAGGACCACGGGAGACAGTTCATGGGCAGGGACCACACAGGGCCAGTCTGCAGGTCCTGTCCCGTGCACAATTCCTCTGGACTGGGCTCCCAGACACTGGGCTCCCCTGCCCTGTGTCCCATCCTGGTCTCTCAGTCGCGCCCTCCGTGTCCTCCTGTGCCCACATCCACTCACTGTGCTCTGGCCCCTTCTACAGCGACATTCAGTCCTGCTGTCCCCTCCCCGGTGCCAGTGGAGAACCCCAAGAGGTCAGGGTTGAACTTCTTCAGGATGTCTGCAAAGAGGAGGCAGTGGGGGCACAGGTGAGGGGTCACAGGGAGCTGGATGGGGGCAGGCGGGGCATGGGGACGGTGGGTCCCCCCTCTGGGGGCTGTCACCACCCTCATGCCGGGCCTCTTGGACACTACTTACTGGGCAGTGTGGTGTGGGTCTCCAGGACCCCGTCCCCTCCAATGCTGGGGAAGAGAAGGCATGTCTGTCAAATCACGCCACCCTGCTCTCACGTCATACGTGCCATCATTTGTGTGTGCCAGGACCAGAGATTCTGCCTGGACATCCCTCCTGCCACCCTCGGGGTGATGCAAACATCACAGGGCCTCCCTGTGTCTCAGCGCTGGGCCATGGGACCAGCCTGCATCCCTGGAGGGGTGGCAGGGGAACCCGTGGCCCACTCCCGTGGGGAGTGTGGCCATCTGGACAGAGTCAAGAGCACCCTCACCTCCAGGACAGGCCCCTCCAGGACGTGGGCGGCTTGCTGGAGTTGTGTGGGCGAGCACCCATGGCCGTCTGCAAAAAGCAAAAGAAGGTTCCAGGCCTGCAGGCGGGCGAGGCTGAGGGTACGGGAGAGGCCCCTGGCCCTGCACACGCACACACAGACCTTGCGCATGCATGCGGTCCCAGACCTGGACGTGCATGAGTTGTGCTGGCACCCTGCCCTGCCCCCGTCCCCACCCACTTGCTCTGCATGCCTGACGCCTCCGCCCGCCTCTGCACCCACAGCCGGGATGATCCGCCAACACTTCCCCCGCCAGTGCCTGCCTGCCACGCCTGCTCCGCGTCTCTAACAAGACGCCATCTCCTCACCAGGGACAACACCCGCCCCCGCCCGCGTCCTGTCTCTTCCCTCCTGGCACTCTCTGCCTCCACGCCCGACTCTGGCTCTGGCCTTCCGTGGCCCCAGCCTTCAGGGTTGAAGCCCACCTCGCCAGCGTCGCAAGCTCCCAACCCAGCCTGCACAGGCCTCCCCATGTTGGCCTCCTTCCTTGCCCACACAGACCTCCCGGCCACGGCACCTCAACTTGTCACGGCTCCCAAGTGCCGGACTGGCCTGCCCAGTCCAGCGTGCAGCCCTTCCCGAGTGCAGAGGCCTCCCGCCAGCCCCCCGAATCCCGCGTTCGCTCTCCGAGACCCCTCAGTTCCTGTTTCCTCTTGAAGATGTCTCTAAAAACCCTGCCTGGAAGGACAGACCTCGAAATCTACAGAAGCACACATGTCCTCACCCCAGGGAAACGCATGGAGGGTCTAAAAGGAAGCGTGGACCCCACCGTGACAATCCTGCCTGCCGCAGGCTCCAGCCCTGCCTTGTCCTGAGCCACACGCACATGCCACACGTGCACCACACGTGCGCCACACATGTGCCACATGCACACGCCACATGCACCACAGACATACCACATGCACACATCACAAGCAAACAGCCACATGCACACGCCACACATGCACCACACACACAATGCCACATGTATCTGCCACACACACGTTACACACATGCACACCCATGCAACATACACATGCCCCACACACATACATGCCACATGTACACACCATACACACACCACATGTGCACATCACATGCACACACCACACACATCACATGCACATGCACATGCCATATGTGTATACTACACATGCATACCACACACTCACACCACACACACACCACATGCATATCGTGCACACACCAAGGCACAGACTCACATACACCACTCACACTCACTGTCAGGGCTCACTCATGGCCAAGGCCTGTGAGCCTCCACAGCTTTCTTTCTGTTCACACCGAAACATCCGCTGCCCCAAGCTTCTCTTCCCTCAGATTGGCTGGCAGTGTCGTGCACACAGCAGTGGCCAATAGTTGCCTCATGCGGGTCACTGAGCAGCCTGTGCTGTGTGCCCGAGGTGGCTCTCTCTGCCCCAGCATGTGTCCTCCAAGGAGGGGCATTGGCAGTGGGTGGCCCTGCCCTCTTGGGACTAGGCAGTGGGGATAAGCCACTGACAGAGGCAGGACACCTTGATGGGCGCCACCCCTGCCCCCGAAATGCCAGGACGGTGAGCGGGGGCTGCTTCTCCGGGGCTGAGGGGGACCTCGTGCAGGGTTGGGGAGGACAGGCCTTCTTCGTGGCCTGGCTGTTTTAGTGCCCAGCACAGAGAGGGCTCAGTGGGTCCTGAGTGCCCACCTCACCCTGAGTGCCCATCCGGCCCTGAGTACCCACTTTGCCATGAATGCCCACCCAGCCCCACCCTGACTGCCTGCTCAGCCCCGA